TTCTGGTCAGCCCCTTCTGCTGCTGGCACTTATGTCACAATAGTAGAATCGCTTCTCAAACGAATTGGGATTGGTGGCGTGCCGTGCCGAGGCATGGCATGGTGTGGCGTGGGGCGGCGACCTCCGCGGGCTAATCATAGAATTCGTTCAAAAATTCCAACTATCTCACTTTTGTTTGCCCAATGCCAACAGAGTTGTCTGTGATATTGTCTGTGTCTGGGACTGGGCCTGTGCTTCCGTCTGGTTTCAAGTGGAGTTGCAGTTTGGTTAATTAGTCGTCTAGAACGTGGAACGAGCTGCAGCTGAAGGCGAAAACAGCCATTTCAAATGAGAAAGAACAGCGAATACCCCTCTCATTCAATATCCACTAATCTGAACCATTTTAATTAGACTTACTTTCTATTCAATCCCTATATACTCTATATAATTATGATATATTTATATATACATATGTAAGTCCAAGAGAGATGTTGTTGGAGATGCAAAATTATGGTATTGCAAATTATAATTTTATGATGATTCAAATGGAGACGCGAATCCTTAATCATGGTTTATCTCAGATTAGGAATATCCACCAAGCACCTTGCTTTTTGTTTGGATTTTTGTTGATGTTGCCACTGTCTCCTCGAGCTGGCTGGAGTGCTTTGCTGGTTCTGTAAGGCGCCTCCTCCACCCCAAAATTAATTTGAGCGCATAAAAGTTGGCGACATTGAAAATACATAAGTTAGCAGCTGAAAAAAGTTTGAAATTATTGTGGGGGACTGGGTCCGGCATGAGTATGACGCATCGATGGATGGAGCGCGCATTGGTTTTTCAGTTGGGGAAAGTGGCAAGCCAAGAAGAGAAGCCCCCGCATACATACGCCTCACACGACTCATGCCGCACTGCCCCACCGATAAACGAGTGGAAAATCGTGTATAAGTACAAATGATTGTCGAACAAAGCATTAAAGCAAAGCTCTCGCGAAAGCTTTCGAATGGAATCCGCATCTGCCGCAAAACCGATTGCAAAACTAAAGAGAAGGGACGTGTGAGACGCTTCTTACGCGTCACAACTTTTATACCTGGTACTCAGTACATCTGTTACCTTAGCGGTTTTTTTTTCTTTCAAATTTTACATTTTTTCTTATCTGTCCTTTCCTAGAGCCACACACTGCAGAGTCCCGGCAGAGGCCGCTCACTGCAGAAGCAGAGGGTGAATGAGAATATGTGAACAAAAAAACAAATGTAAGCTGTGGGACGGGGTGGGTTTAGCCAAGGCTGAGGCAGAGGCAGAGGAACGGCAGGGGCAGAGGCCGCACACTGCGCGAAGCAGAGTGTAAATGAGAGAATGTGCAAAAAACAAATATTAGCTGCGGGACGGGGTGGGTGCACTGCAAATTAATTTCTTCATTGTGGCTATAACAATGATCCAATTCGGTTATCTGATAGATATGGTCATTCCCTACAGAATGGCGTTTTTAGTTTTCTTTTATCTTCAAAATTGTAGATTTGGGAGGTTTTCGCCATTTTTCGGTGGGCGGGGCTAATTTTTTAAATACACTGGTTTCAGTGTAAGCATACAGCAGTCTGGAGGAAAAAATTTGGTGGCTCTAGCTCTTATGGTCACTGAGAACTACCCGACAGACAGACATGGCTCAATCGACTCGGCTATTGATGCTGATCAGGAATATATATACTTTATGGGGTCGGAACCGTTTCCTTCTGTGCGTTACATACAACCGTTACTCCCCACAAATACAATCTACCCTATTTACTCTTCGAGTACCGGGTATAAAAACTAATCCCCATTCATGGTGGCGGGAGGTGGCGTATACAGGTTCGTGGCCAGTTTTCATGTCTAACGAATTGAGCAATTAAAGCCACCGTAAATTGATAAGTGCAGCAATTGAAGAGGTTTTAATTTGCGAGCATAGAATATGCCAATCATATTGTATGTACATTGTCAAATGCATAAACGATGGCGCACAAATGGAGGCGGATTAGAGTTTAAGCTATTTTTTAACTCTTATCACAATTTAAGCCCGAACAACAAACATATAAGATTGACTCGAATGTATTGCCCATAAATCTCCCGATTCTTTTAGTTCTTTATATGCACCTTGTAGAGTGTACGACAATACTAAGACGTCTGTCGACTCGATTCCAGGGATTCCCTTTCCATTTCGAGTAAGGGGTATCACACGAACTACCGTTATCGGTACTACACACATTTTATCGGCTACTTTTTGCACTTCATACACACACACTCGTAAACAAAATGACAATCTCACTCGTATATGAATGCATATGTATATGTATGTATGTACGATTGAGTCACTCACCTGTGTGTCATTCAATATTTCCAAGTGCTCTCCTTTGCGGAAGCTCAGATCCTCGTCGGTGCGGGCATCGTAGTCGTAGAGAGCGACGAATATCTTGGCATTGGCATTCGCAGGATCGCTCTCGGGAATCTGCGGTACTGGACGAACCTGCTCCGGCGGCTGGCCGATGGGCATGGCTATCTGCGGCACACCCACCACACCAATCGCCGTACCCGGATCCTCCAGCTTGATGCGATCGACATTAACTTTATCCGTCTCCCCCTTCTGTGTGGTTAAACAGTTGCCCATGGTTGCGGAGGAGGGAGAGTATGTTGCTCTCTGCTTGTTGCTTCCCCCTGTCTGCGGGTACGTGCGTGCGCTGTCTGTGTTAAATGCAATGAATGGAAGCCAAATTGCAGCTTGTTGCGATTACGTTCACTGTTACTTTCACTGCACCCGAGCCCGTACCCGTACCAGTGACTGTTCCCCGCGCGCCGTTTGTTTATTGTTTATTTGTTCGCTCGAGATCCAGCACTGGGTGTTGGCACTTATCGCTCCTCTCTCTCTCTCTTGGACAATCTCTCGCTCTGTCTCCGTTTCTAAGCGGTGCGGTGCAACTCGGTGGCGACTCCCAACTTTTGTAATTGTATTAGTAATTTCCTTCGATGGATGGACTAACTAATTTAAATGCTTACACTCACGACGACTACCATGCATGTGTCCATATGTAATTTCTTACTTTTATCTACAATTGCACTTGTGTGCGTGTGTGTGTATATATATGAGATGCTGGAGCTGGCTAGCAATCAACACAACTCATTGTGACGTCTCTGACGCATGGGAAACAAGTAGAAAACACAGATTAACTATTGGAACACATTCACGCACTAATTTTCAACTGTTTGAGCATTCGCGTTCACATTTTTAACTTAATTATTGGCCATATTTTCCATCGCGTTGTAAAGATTGAGATTTTGCAGTGAAAATGGCTCTTAGGGATGTTACCATGTTGATATATACTATTATCGATATATATTTTTGGTCGATGATGTATTTAGTTGTGATTTGTTTTTGGTATACACCCACATACCTAACGTCTTTGCTGAGTAGAAAAAATTACAAAGACAATTTATCTCTTGTTTTACATTTTTTTCCCAATACCAAATTCTTTTGATTATTTTTATCGACAAACGGGAAGGTATGGTTCCTTGAATACCCGAAATATCTAATACATCGTATATCGGTCGTGTCCCAGCACTACACTTAAAGCTTATCTAGTCTGATGGATATATTCAACGATATCGTTCGTTCGAAACCAACTCTTTTTTGGGTTTTTTTCTAATATTCAACATAAACTGAAGTACCTGGTCAATACGGACTCATCGTCTGCGACCAACCAATTTCGCTGTAGCCATTATATAACAAAAAAAAAACAGTTCTCAATGATATCCCATATCCACATCCCGTGAAACATCCCATTTCCCTAACACTAGCCATAGGCCGCGTTCACCATGACAATCACAGCGTTCGGATATTGAAATACAACCAGCTCAGAAACTAAAGATATTACCACGAACAGCTGCTCGCTTTTTCGTTTGCCTTTTTATACCCGGTACTCGAAGAGTAAATTGGGTATATTGTATACTATACCATTTGGTTAGTGGTCTAGGGAAGGGCGGCGAGCATTTTGGTGTGAGAAGTGTTGTAGATGTAGATGACAGATGAAGAACAAATTTAAAATTTGACAAAACACCGCTGAGGTGCAGATGCACTATTGTCCCAATGACCAGTTTTGGTGGCTGTTTACGCCAAATTAGCGCAAAGGGCTTATGGCCGGGAGCAATTAGTATTTTGTTTAAGTAAAATGAATTTGTAGCATTAAGATATTGTATTGTTGCATTTACGACATACTCACAGAAGTTTGTTGCTATAGAACATACATGTAATATGTGAATACGATAGAGAAAGAGGAAGAACATGCATTTAATAGGTGAATATCGAAATTGAAACGAAGAAGAGATTAAATTGATTTGAATTCCGACTCGGTCGAACCAGCAGCACTTGGCTTTTTATTTCGAGATTTTGATTCCGAACTGGTTGCGAGGAGTTGCGGAAACAGTGGCCAAAAGCTAATTCGGTTAAGACTCGGTTTTTAACGCTCTGTATTAGAAAAAGAGTGACCATCAAAATTGCGTATAAGAAATTTTCATAGATAGCGCCACTTTCGAAAAATCTGCTGTGAAACCTAGCGGTCATTATTGCACAGAATGTGCAGGGAAAAAGTACCAATTTAATTTCTATTTTAAATATCTCATAAATTGGAAAATACGTGTTCTGTAATGTGAACGATATCTAGTGGTTGGCGATGTTTTCTACATCTAGATGTAGTCCTGAGTGCCGGGTATAAAAGTTGTGACGCGTAAGAAGCGTCTCACACGTCCCTTCTCGTTTTTTTAAACATTGAACATTGAACATTAAGCATTGTTGAACAAGCCAACATTGAAAATGTATTCCACAAGAACGAAAAGTATTGAATGGAATTCATGATTTTTAATGGTTTACAGGAAATGGATCATGGATCGGTGATCAAGGAACGCGCCCAATGAAAATAGTGTACGATATATTTTTAAAATAAGAAGGTATATTTTGGTATTTTTTGAGGTTTGTGCGGTTCATTCTATCGATAATTCCTCGGTCACACTGTTTGACCGGCAGAAAATATAAAAAAATTGTCATTGAAGAAATCTTACAAAACAAAAATAATTTAAAGAACCAAATCGGAGAAAAAGATGGATATAAAGTCTTTTCTTTTTCAGTTCTGTGCAAAAACTCGCACAGAACCAAAGCTGGATGTGCGCCAAACGGGTGAGTAAAGAAATACATTTTAGCCCTCGCTCGGCATCTAATGTTCGCGTTCCTCGGTCCTTATTATGCGTTGCAATTGATTTTTGTAGGGCCAAAGAATCGCCAGCGCTTCCTGTGCGAAGTGCGCGTCGAGCAGACGCCCTATATCGGCGTGGGAAATTCAACCAACAAGAAGGACGCCGAGAAAAACGCCTGTCGCGATTACGTTAATTACCTGGTGAGGACTGGCAAACTAAATGCCACCGACGTTCCAGGGGAAGCGGGTGCTTTGGCACCAGGAAGGTTTCCATCGCATGGCGATGGTGGTGCCGGCGCCGGGCATCGCGTCTTCGGCGACGAATCGGGGCCACAGGACCTGGGCGAAGCGTACCGTCCCGTGAATCACTCTGGGATCGGTGGAGGTGCCAGCGGTCACGATCGCTTCAACATCATTGACCATGTGCAGGAGCAGAAGGACATGAATGAGGCAGAGTCGATCGACGTGAACGCCGCCATCCATGGCAACTGGACCATCGAGAACGCCAAGGATCGCCTAAACATGTACAAGCAAGCGAATAACATTCGCGACGACTACAAGTACACTCCAGTGGGTCCGGACCACGCTAGGTATGTGGCCAGCACCGCAAGTATTTTCTGTTTGTGTTTGTTTTTTTTTTTTTGAGTAGCTGCGTTCTGGCTTTGGAATTTATTTCTAGTCCAATGCTGGAACGCAGCCAGTAGACTTGAAATGCTGTGCGCAATTCGTAAAGAACCGAGCCGGCAGAGCGACGTGGTACGAGACATTAATTAACTGTGTTCCGTGGAGACTTGCATGAGATCTGTAGAAGAAACGAACGAGCGCAAGCATGGGCACACAGTCACAGTTTCGGCCTTCACATGAGTACCACATCGCTCTGAGGCTCTGAGAGGGCTTTGTCCACAATTGCGCATAGCTGGCCTATCAACCCTGATCCAACCTGCCGGTAAGTGACCAGCCGGCGTGACCATGCCTGTGCAGAACAAGGTTCCCCCTAACACCTTTACTCGCATCACTTTAGGAGCTTCATGGCCGAGCTGTCGATTTTTGTGACTGCCCTTAAGCGCAAGGTGACAGCCAGGGAGACGGGCTCCAACAAGAAATCGGCCAGCAAGTCGTGCGCCTTGTCCCTGGTGCGCCAGCTCTTCCATCTGAAGGTCATCGAAGCCTTCAGCGGCACCCTCAAGAAGAAGAAGGATGAGGAGCTGAAGCCCTACCCAGTTCGGCTGGCGCCAGATCTGGTGAACGAGATAGACGATGTCATCAAGATGCTGGACCTGCCCGTGGTTAATCCGCGCAATATTAAAGTGGAGTCGGACGGGGCACCCATTCCCCTGATTGTAAGTAGTTTCTTTTCTAAAATGGTGTGAGGAACACATTGACAGCCGGTTGGCACCTCTACAGGTTCAGAGCAGCCGGCTGGACTCGCAGCATGAGAGCGAGAAGCGGCAGGATAGCGCTGTGATTCCGTGGGCTCCACCCATGCCCAACTGGAACACATGGCATGCCTGCAATATTGACGAGGGCGAGCTGGCCACCGCCTCCATCGACGACCTCTCCCTGGACTTCGAGCGCAGTATCCTGGATCGACGCCACAATCATTCAGAGTACCGTCAGTTCCTTGAATTTCGCGATAAGCTGCCCATTGCAGCCATGCGCTCGGAGATACTGAGCGCCATCAACGACAACCCCGTGGTGATCATACGCGGCAACACTGGCTGCGGCAAGACCACCCAGATAGCCCAGTACATCCTCGACGATTACATCTCGTCCGGGCAAGGCGGCTATGCCAACATCTATGTAACCCAGCCGCGTCGCATCTCGGCCATTTCTGTGGCTGAGCGTGTGGCCCGCGAGCGTTGCGAGGAGCTGGGCGATGCCGTCGGTTATTCTGTGCGTTTTGAGTCAACTTTCCCCCGACCCTACGGCGCCATCCTCTTCTGCACCGTGGGTGTGCTGCTGCGCAAGCTGGAGGCGGGCCTGCGCGGCGTCTCGCACATCATTGTCGATGAGATACACGAGCGTGATGTGAATAGTGATTTCCTGTTGGTCATATTGAGGGACATGGTGGCCACCTATCCAGAATTGCATGGTGCGTATTGAGAGCCTGTGTACGAGATGCTAGATGCTTTATTTACGTGTTTTCCACCCACCACCAGTCATCCTTATGTCGGCCACCATTGACACGACGCTGTTCTCAAAGTACTTTGGGGAGTGCCCCGTGCTGGAGGTGCCGGGCAGAGCCTTCCCCGTGCAGCAATTCTTCTTGGAAGACGTGCTGCAGATGACGGGCTTCGTGCCCTCATTGGAGTCGCGTCGCAAGCGCAAGGAGGCCGACGATGAGGAGCGGCTGATTCTCAGCGAGAACAAGGAGGAGGGCGAGACAAACTGCAATAAGATTTGCGAGGACAAGTACTCGCAGCAGACGCGCAATGCCATGGCCGCGCTCTCTGAGTCGGATGTCAGCTTCGAGCTTCTCGAGGCTCTTCTGTTGCACATCAAGTCCAAGAACATACCCGGCGCAATTCTCGTCTTCTTGCCCGGTTGGAATCTAATATTCGCCCTGATGAAGTTCCTTCAGACCTCGAACAACTTTGGCACTTCGCAGTACCGCATCCTGCCCTGCCACTCGCAGATACCGCGCGACGACCAGCGCAAGGTGTTCGAGCCTGTGCCCGAGGGCGTCACCAAGATCATTCTGTCCACAAACATTGCGGAGACATCCATCACCATTGACGACATCGTGTTTGTGATTGACATCTGCAAGGCGCGCATGAAGCTGTTTACCTCGCACAACAACCTCACCAGCTACGCCACAGTATGGGCCAGCAAAACAAATTTGGAGCAGCGCAAGGGACGTGCGGGACGAGTGCGACCTGGCTTCTGCTTCACTCTATGCTCTCGGGCCCGTTTCGAAGCCCTTGAGGAGAATCTCACGCCGGAGATGTTCCGCACGCCACTGCACGAGATGGCTCTGACCATTAAACTGCTGCGCCTCGGGGCCATCCATCACTTTCTGTCCAAGGCCCTGGAGCCGCCGCCAGTGGACGCCGTGATTGAGGCGGAGGTACTGCTGCGCGAGATGCGCTGCCTCGACGCTAACGACGAGCTGACGCCTCTTGGCCGCCTGCTGGCGCGCCTTCCGATCGAGCCGCGCCTCGGCAAGATGATGGTGCTGGGGGCTGTCTTTGGATGCGCCGATCTGGTGGCCAGCATGGCCTCCTACTCGAGCACCTTCTCGGAGGTGTTTGCCCTAGACATTGGTCAGCGTCGCCTGGCCAACCACCAGAAAGCTTTGAGCGGGCGCAAGTGCTCCGACCACGTGGCCATGATTGTTGCCTCGCAGATGTGGCAGAAGGCGAAGCACAAGGGCGAGCAGGAGGAGAACCGCTTCTGCGATTGGAAGGGTCTGCAGCTGTCCACAATGAACGTGATGTTCGATGCCAAGCAGCAGCTGCTCGATCTGCTGCAACAAGCCGGCTTTCCCGAGGAGTGCATGATCCCGCACCAAGTGGATGCTAATGCGGTAGATCCGGTACTCGACACGTCGCTGGCCCTGCTTTGTCTGGGCCTCTACCCCAACATCTGCGTACACAAGGAGAAGCGCAAGGTGCTGACCACCGAGTCCAAGGCGGCCCTGCTACATAAGACCTCAGTGAACTGCAGCAACCTGGGCGTCACCTTCCCCTATCCGTTCTTCGTCTTTGGCGAGAAGATTCGCACGCGCGCTGTCTCCTGCAAACAACTGTCGATGGTCGCGCCCCTCCAGGTGATGCTCTTTGGGTCACGCAAAATCGATCTCGCCGCCAGGAACTTAATACGCGTGGACAACTGGCTCAACTTCGAGATGGAACCGGAGCACGCTGCCATGATTGGGGCCCTGAAGCCCGCTCTGGAGGATCTCATAACGATTGCCTGTGACAAGCCGGACACCGTGCTTCAACTGGAGGAACCCTATGCCAAGCTGGTCGACGTGGTCCGAAATCTATGTGTACAGACGGCCGGAGACTTCGAGCTAAGACGTGAGGAGGGTATCTTGCCGCATCAATCGCGTCAGTCCGGCTATGCCGCAGGAGGTTTAGGTGGTGGGCCGGCAAAGAGAGGACGCTTCGATTCAGATGGTCCTGTAGGCATGGGCTGGGGTGGAGGTGGACGAGGCGGCGGCGGAAGCAACTTCTTCAATAATTCCAGCGGCAGCTATGGCAGGAGAGGTTTCGGCGGGCCGCGTAGAGGTCGGGGCTTTGGAAACGATGGAGGAGGCGGCTATGGTGGCAGAGGAGGAGGCTATGGATCCAGAAGTGGGTTCTCTGGAAACGGAAGAGGTGGCTTTGGCGGGGGTTATGGAAATAGGGGTGGAGGTGGAGACTATTCCAGTCAAGGAGGAAGCGCATTTGGCGATAATGGAGGCGAAAGTTTTCGCAGCCAAGGTGGAAGCAGTTCATTTGGCGGTGGATCCGAAGCCGACGGAAGCGAATGTGGAACCTGGGGCGCCTTCTAGAAATAATACAAATTGCAGATAACAAAACGGTGGCCCGAAGTATTTAATTAATAATATGTTAATATTTGACAACAAAAGAAACAAAAATGAAATAAATAATAAAAATGAAACGAGAAGGGACGTGAGACGCTTCTTACGCGTCACAACTTTTATACCCGGCACTCAGTACTACATCTGCACTTTAGCGGTTGAACAAATCAAATGAATCTGTTGATGTAGATTCACTTGGTTCTGGTGATTGTCAATATGACAATTGTATTCTCGTTCAATCGTTCAACCGTTCATGTACCAGTAACAAAATGTCGCCACAATCGGTACTTGAACAAGTTGGGCTTCGTAGATGTGAATACGTCAGAGTTTTCTTTCGTACTGATTTTATTTGGTAAAATGTGAGGATGTCAAAGATAATCATGTTAACAAATGAATCCTAGTAGCCGAACAAATTAATCAAGATTCATATTCATCCATACCTTTCTATAAACATACTGACAGCATTTCGCTAATAGTACGTCTACCACACTGTAAAATGTTGACGTCTAGTAGAGCTTACATTAAATACTGACACATAGTTATATTTTTCTAATACACGTCCGTTGTGCATGCACGTGCATCCAGCTGCCTGTTGAATATTTTGTGGGTCAGCGGTGCATACCTCATATTTATTGGGTTAGTTTGAGAATATTTATTTAGGTTGCTGAGAATTCTTAATACCTAATAACAAACATAAATTTAGGTCTAACCATACGGTTTGATGTTTAAATCTAAATCGTACATCCTCCCGGCCGTTGACCATGGTATGTTCAACCATCATTAATGTTGATTGTAAACGGCTGACTTGATGTGTTGCCTCCATTCGCTGATGTGGTAGGCTGTTGCATTGGCTGCGAGGTATTCCTGGCTTTGTGCCATTTCTTGACCAAATGAACTATTGCAATGATCATTATAAAGATCATTGCAATGTATATGGCAATATGGTGATGACCTATATTTTCAAAGTTGTGGGGTAACTTGAAACTATTCGGTGGTAACAGCCTTGTTTCCATTTGATACAGCTCCTTGTAATTTAATTTTTCTTCGTTTGTTGAAGCTGTATCTGTCGGACGTTCAGTTGATGTTTTGTTGATGTCATTTTCTCCGAATCGAGCGTATGACAAATGCCATGTCGTCTCCATTGTGCTTTGACTTGTCACGGTCATCAAAGAATTTCGAATGATGCATCCAGGGTTTGCGATCAATAATCCTGAATTTTGTAATTTGATATCCGATATTCCATCTGCACATACTGCTGATAATTTCAATGATGATTTTGTTGAAAATATCCATTGATTTTTACCATGCATACTCAACCATATAAATGATTTTTTTGTTTTGATTAAGTTGCATGATGGATCCGTTTTGTTATGGAACATTTGTAAATGTTTGTAAAATTGTTTGTTTATTATAGCATACAAAATCATTGTTTGCTCTTGGATGGCAATTTTTTAGATCACTCTCTGACTCTCTTGAAAAGCGATGAAGTGATCAGCTCTTCCCTTTGATTCGGTGATAAAGTCCTCAACTCGACTTAGTCTTTTGGAGTTTGAGATTTCATCCCTTTTTATTACTGTTTCCGCAACTCCTCGCAACCAGTTCGGAATAAAAATCTCGAAGTAAAAAGTCGGAATTCAATCAATTTAATACTCTCCTTCTTTCAATTTCGCTATTCACCCATTACATGCATGTTCTTCCTCTTTGTCTATCGATATTCACATATTACATGTATGTTCTATGGCACCAAACTTCTGTGAGCATGTCAAAATGCAACAATTCAATATCTTAATGCTACCAATTCATTTTACTTATATCCAAATACTAATTGCTCCCGGCCATAAGCCCTTTGCGCAAATTTGGCGTAAACAATTACATTAATTGTAGAGTCAATCAATGATGTCTGATTTTTAAGCAGGGCTAATAAGTGATTCTCGTTATCCTTAACCTTTGCTATCGTTTCCGACATTGTACGGGCATATGTTGAGTCTAGTACGCCAAACAGACTGCTTGCGATGTTTCCAATGATGTCCAGCGGAGCTCTTTGTTTCCGTGTCCTTGCTATTAGCGCATATTCAGCTTGCAGGTCCTCTTCTATATGTTTGAAATGTTGATGCAAACTGGTGCATGCGTCTACTTGTTGAAGTTGCTTGCATAGATGTCCAATTTTTGAAGTACCCATGGTGAATGTGTTCATGTCTTTCCAATAGGGCTTTAGGTTGTAATAGACAATTATGGTCCAGTCAGTTGTCGCAAGTTGGCTGGTTCCTACTTTTTCGAAGTATATACCCGGGTTTGAACCAATCTGGGCTATGTTGATTGACTGCGCCATTGCTAACGGTAAAAGTAACAATATGACAAACATTGTCATGGTTAACGACAGTCTATTCGGCTGTGTCCTTTTTCTAGGCTGTCTGTCTTCAGATGACTCTCCATTTTCAGATGGATCATCTATCGGATGTTTATGTGTGGGTTCCTCTTCATTGAACAGTGGAGCAACATGTTGAATCCCACGTTTGAAGATTCCCTTGGCTGTTTTTACTTCAACCACTCGTACGAAATTGTCCTTTCCATGAAACAATTGAGTGATTCTTCCAAGTGGCCATTTTAATACCGGAATATTGTCTTTCTTTAGTATTACCAATGTTCCTTCTTTAATGTTCGCTGACGATTTCCTCCACCTTTGACGTTGCTGTAGTTGTTGGAGGTATTCGTTGGACCATTGCGTCCAGAATGAGTGTTTTAATTTTGACACTGCTTGCCATCGATTACCTAGCGTCTTAGGTTGTTGGGATGGCTCACTGTCAGCTTGTGCGGTTAACGGCTCTCCTTTCAGAAAGTGCCCTGGTGTTAACGCTGTTACGTCGTTTGGGTTGTCAGATAACGGTGTCAGTGGTCGAGAATTTAATATGGCTTCTATTTCGACTATAACCGTTTCTAATTCCTCATATGTTAAATTTGCCGTAGTCACATTTTTTAAAAGCAGATGCTTTGCAGATTTTACTGCAGCTTCCCATAAACCGCCGAAGTGTGGTGCACGAGGAGGTATAAATTTGAACTGTACCCCTTTGTTGTTGCACTCCTGTACAATATGTTCCTTTGCCTTTTCTGAGAATATGGCCTCTTCTAATTCTTGAAGTTTGTTCCTGGCTCCTACGAAATTCGTAGCATTGTCGCAATGGAGCACTTGACATTTTCCACGACGAGAGGTGAACCGTCGGAGTGCCGCTAAAAATGCTTCTGTGGTGAGATCGCTGACTAGCTCTAAATGTACTGCTTTAGTAGCGAAACAACAGAATATGGCTATGTAAGCTATATTAGGCTTCTTTCCTCGTTTTTTATAGTGGATTTTAAATGGCCCACAGTAATCAACTCCAGAATTGAAGAATGGCCTTGCTTGGGTGACTCGAAGAGGTGGCAGATTTCCCATGATCTGCTCTAGCAGTTTGGGCTTGGCTTTTGTGCATTTCACACAGTAGTGCACAATGCTTCTGGCCATGCTTTTTCCTTTTAGTATCCAAAATTGTTGTCGTGATGCTGTTAGCAATGCCTGGGGGCCACAATGCATGTTGTCCTTGTGTATTTTAGCCAGGATCAATTTGACAATTGGATCGTTGTAAGGTAGGAGCATTGGGTGTTTGGCGTCAAATGAAATATTTGCCGCTTCCAGTGGACCACCTACTCGCAAGATTCCCTCCTGATCCATAAACGGGGTAAGCGAGTTGATCGAACTTCCCTTTTGCGTTTCCTTATGTCTTGTTTAGTAACGTATGTCCTCTTTGAAGACATTCTGTTGTATGTTACGAATGACAATTTTCTGAGCTTCTTTCATCTCATTGAATTGGATAGTGTTGCTTGTGTATGTTTTCCTTGCTCGGAAACGCATCATGTAAGCAATTATTCTTATTAGTTTGTTGTATGAATTGTTGTGCTTAATTTTGTATATAATATGATCCTCCTGAGTGATGCTCATAATTGATGAATGACTAATTTGTTGGGGATTTGCACTGATATTTTCCTCTTTTGTAGTTTTGTTTTGGATCTCTTCGCCCGTGGCCAATTGCCTGTCCAGCACAACATTAATGCTTGATGATGCCATTTTTTTATTATTTGTCGTACTACTTTGACCCGATGGAGGTAATTTCCTTCACAAAAGGTAATGAGAAATCACAACTGTGATTGATGATGTGTGTATGTAAATTGATCGCCAAGTTAACCAATTATGTAGGATTTTCCAAATAAATCCAAGTTCAAAATCGGGAACAATACTCCAGAAGAACGGTTAAATGTCCAAAAGTCGGGTGTCACCAAATGAACAAATCAAATAAATCTGTTGATGTAGATTCACTTGGTTCTGGTGATTGCCAATATGACAATCGTATTCTCGTTCAATCGTTCAATCGTTCATGTACCAGTAACAAAATGCCGCCGCAATCGGTACTTGAACAAATTGGGCTTCGTAGATGTGAATTCGTCAGACTTTACTTTTGTACTGATTTTATTTGGTAAAATGTGAGGTATATATACAGTTTCTATTAGTACAATTGTTTACTTAGGATCATCGGCTTGTTTAATTAGTTCTAAGTATAAGTAGGTATGGAAAGATATTTGTATGACTGTCGTAAAGCGATTATCATGCAGATGGTGTGACATTTTACAACTGCAGATCATCTCGAATGTAATTTATGACTGTGTATCAATATAAAAAGATTATGTGCAGGCATGTGCATGCACGTGCATCCAGCTGCCTGTTGAATATTTTGTGGGTCAGCGGTGCATACCTCATATTTATTGGGTTAGTTTGAGAATATTTATTTAGGTTGCTGAGAATTCTTAATACCTAATAACAAACATAAATTTAGGTTTGATGTTTAAATCTAAATCGTACAGCGGTGTTTTGCCAAATTTTAAATTTTTTCTTCATCTGTCATATACATCTCCCTTTAGCTCGCCCCCATTTCTTGGAGCCACACACTGCAGAGTCCTGGCAGAGGCAGA